TCCTATTTTCGAAACGTTCAATATGCGATACATTCGATTTTTGAGGTTCCACTGTATACCCATTCTTCATTTATTTAGGTTTCCTACAATAAGTATATTCACCACTCACTATAAGCTAAGAATGAAAATATTTTAAGGATAGTAATGTGTGTACTGAGTACGCATTTTTTAGGCCTAGCACTACTGATCACTTAACATAGGTAGTAGGTTGGTAGACAGCAACCACCCAGGGAAGTACTACAGTCCTGCCAGATGACTGTTAAACAGAAACCTGTAACTGTTTTGCATGATGGAAGGATTGCTGGTGTCTTTTTCTGTCTCAAACACGCTAGATAACAGGGATATCTTGCTGCTCCTACTTACACTTTGGTCACACTTCATAGATTGGACACAGTAACAAGGGGACACAGTTGGAAGCTGAAGACACAGATGAATCACAGGGATGTTAGGAAGTATTTCTTCAGCCACAGAGTAGTCAGTAAGTGGAATAGTTTGGGAAGCGATGTAGTGGAGGCAGGATCCATACATAGCTTTAAGCAGAGGTATGAGAAAGCTCACGGCTCAGGGAGAGTGACCTAGTAGCGATCAGTGAAGAGGCGGGGCCAGGAGCTCGGACTCGACCCCCGCAACCTCAACTAGGTGAGTACAACTAGGCGAGTACATACATATATATACATATATATACATACATATACATATATATACATATACATACATACATCTAGGTTTTTCTCCTTTTTCTAAATAGCTCTTGTTCTTCTTTATTTCTTCTATTGTCCATGGGGAAGTGGAAAAGAATCTTTCCTCCGTAAGCCATGCGTGTCATATGAGGCGACTAAAATGCCGGGAGCGATGGGCTAGTAACCCCTTCTCCTGTAGACATTTACTAAAAAAGAGAAGAAGAAAAACTTTATAAAACTGGGATGCTTGAATGTGCATGGATGTAGTACGGATGACAAGAAACAGATGATTGCTGATGTTATGAATGAAAAGAAGTTGGATGTCCTGGCCCTAAGCAAAACAAAGCTGAAGGGGATAGGGGAGTTTCGGTGGGGGGAAATAAATGGGATTAAATCTGGAGTATCTGAGAGAGTTAGAGCTAAGGAAGGGGTAGCAGTAATGTTGAAGGATCAGTTATGAAAGGAGAAAAGAGAATATGAATGCGTAAATTCAAGGATTATGTGGATTAAAGTAAAGGTTGGATGCGAAAAGTGGGTCATAATAAGCGTGTATGCACCTGGAGAAGAGAGGAATGTAGAGGAGAGAGAGAGATTTTGGGAGATGTTAAGTGAATGTATAGGAACCTTTGAACCAAGAGAGAGTAATTGTGGTAGGGGACCTGAATGCTAAAGTAGGAGAAACTTTTAGAGAGGGTGTCGTAGGTAAGTTTGGGGGTGCCAGGTGTAAATGATAATGGGAGCCCTTTGATTGAACTTTGTATAGAAAGGGGTTTAGTTATAGGTAATACATATTTTAAGAAAAAGAGGATAAATAAGTATACAAGATATGATGTAGGGCGAAATGACAGTAGTTTGTTGGACTATGTATTGGTAGATAAAAGACTGTTGAGTAGACTTCAGGATGTACATGTTTATAGAGGGGCCACAGATATATCAGATCACTTCTTAGTTGTAGCTACAATGAGAGTAAAAGGTAGATGGGATACAAGGAGAATAGAAGCATCAGGGAAGAGAGAGGTGAAGGGTTATAAACTAAAAGAGGAGGCAGTTAGGGTAAGATATAAACAGCTATTGGAGGATAGATGGGCAAATGAGAGCATAGGCAATGGGGTCGAAGAGGTATGGGGTAGGTTTAAAAATGTAGTGTTAGAGTGTTCAGCAGAAGTTTGTAGTTACAGGAAAGTGGGTGCAGGAGGGAAGAGGAGCGATTGGTGGAATGATGATGTAAAGAGAGTAGTAAGGGAGAAAAAGTTAGCATATGAGAAGTTTTTACAAAGTAGAAGTGATGCAAGGAGGGAAGAGTATATGGAGAAAAAGAGAGAGGTTAAGAGAGTGGTGAAGCAATGTAAAAAGACACCAATGAGAGAGTGGGTGAAATGTTATCAACAAATTTTGTTGAAAATAAGAAAAAGTTTGGAGTGAGATTAACAAGTTAAGAAGCCTAGAGAACAAATGGATTTGTCAGTTAAAAATAGGAGAGGAGAGTTATTAAATGGAGAGTTAGAGGTATTGGGAAGATGGAGGGAATATTTTGAGGAATTGTTAAAGTTGATGAAGATAGGGAAGCTGTGATTTCATGTATAGGGCAAGGAGGAATAACATATTGTAGGAGTGAGGAAGAGCCAGTTGTGAGTGTGGGGGAAGTTCGTGAGGCAGTAGGTAAAATGAAAGGGGGTAAGGCAGCCGGGATTGATGGGATAAAGATAGAAATGTTAAAAGCAGGTGGGGATATAGTTTTGGAGTGGTTGTGCAATTATTTAATAAATGTATGGAAGAGGTAAGGTACCTAGGGATTGGCAGAGAGCATGCATAGTTCCTTTGTATAAAGGCAAAGGGGACAAAAGAGAGTGCAAAAATTATAGGGGGATAAGTCTTTTTGAGTATACCTGGTAAAGTGTATGGTAGAGTTTTTATTGAAAGAATTAAGAGTAAGACGGAGAATAAGTTAGCAGATAAACAAGGAGGCTTTAGGAAAGGTAGGGGGGTGTGTGGACCAGGTGTTTACAGTGAAACATATAAGTGACCCAGTATTTAGGTAAGGCTAAAGAGGTTTTTGGGGCATTTATGGATTTGGAAAAGGGTATGACAGGGTGAATAGAGGGGCAATGTGGCAGATGTTGCAGGTGTATGGTGTAGAGGAAGGTTACTGAAAGCAGTGAAGAGTTTTTACGAGGATAGTGAGGCTCAAGTTAGAGTATGTAGGAAAGAGGGAGATTATTTCCAGTAAAAGTAGGCCTTAGACAAGGATGTGTGATGTCACCGTGGTTGTTTAATATATTTATAGAGGGGGTTGTAAGAGAAGAAAATGCGAGGGTCTTGGCAAGAGGTGTGGAGTTAAAAAGATAAAAAAATCAACAAAGTGGGAGTTGTCACAGTTGCTCTTTGTTTGTGACACTGTGCTTTTGGGGGAGATTCTAAAAGGGGAAGGTTGCAGAGGTTGGTGGATGAATTTGGTAGGTATGCAAAAGAGAAAATTAAAAGTGAATACAGGAAAAAGTAAGGTTATGAGGATAACAAAAGATTAGGTGATGAAAGATTGGATATCAGATTGGAGGGAGAGAGTATGGAGGAGGTGAATGTATTCAGATATTTGGGAGTGGACATGTCAGCGGATGGGTCTATGAAAGATGAGGTGAATCATAAATTTATGAGGGTAAAAAGGGGGAGCAGTGCACTTGGAGTCTGTGGAGACAAAGAACTTTGTCCTTGGAGGCAAAAAGGGGAATGTATGAGAGTACAGTTTTACCAACGCTCTTATATGGGTGTGAAGCATGGGTGATGAATGTTGCAGCGAGGAGAAGGCTGGAGGCAGTGGAGATGTCATGTCTGAGGGCAATGTGTGTGTGAATATAATGCAGAGAATTCATAAATTTTGGGAAGTTAGGAGGAGGTGCGGGATCACCAAAACTGTTTTTCCAGGGGCTGAGGAAGGGTTGTTGAGGTGGTTCGGACATGTAGAGAGAATGGAGCGAAACAGAATGACTTCAAGAGTGTATCAGCCTGTAGTGGAAGGAAGGCAGGGTAGGGGTCCCGGGCCCAGGAAAGGTTGGAGGGGGGGGGGTAAAGGAGGTTTTGTATGCGAGGGGCTTGGACTTTCAGCAGGCCATGCGTGAGCGTGTTTGATAGGAGGAATGGAGACAAATGGTTTTTAAAACTTGGTGTGCTGTTGGAGTGTGAGCAAAGTAACATTTATGAAGGGATTCAAGGAAACCGGGAAAGGGCCGGACTTGAGTCCTGGAGATGGGAAGTACAGTGCCTGCACTCTGAAAAGGGGGGGTGTTAATGTTGCAGCTTAAAAACTGGGAGTGAAAAAGCACCCTTCTGGCAAGACAATGATGGAGTGAATGATGGTGAAAGTTTTTCAGGCCAAACCTGCCTTGGTGGGTCGCCAGTGTGAAAAAAAAATAAAAAAAAAAGAAACATTGTATCCAGATACATGCATTGAAAGGGAAAATGTTCACTTAAACAGTAAAGACCCTTCTGATAGCAGGATTGTATTTTTAAACTATCACCACCCTCCCCATCCCTTTAATTAAAAAAAAAAAAAATGGGTTCACTGTTCAGTTAGAAGAGGGGAGGTTTTTCACTACCTCCCCAATTTTATAAGACATCTTATTAAAATTCCCCCAAAAATCCTTTCCTTTTTTTTTTAAATAAAAGTGGTGTTACGTTCATAGAAAATGATACAAACCCATTTAAAGTACATTTTCAAATTTATCTGTTTAACAAATTTGAAAGGCATATGTCCCCCACACAAGTATCAACAACTGTGGTTGACCTCTACATTAAAATTGACACCATTAATGGCAAGTACTTTACTTATTTAAACTTTCATTTTTAAAAAAATATGAAAAAAGATAAGAAATTATCATTCAGGTTCCCATCTAAAGTTAAAATGTGGGCTTGAATGGAAAAATGCGATTCACTTAAAATACTTTTGATTTCACAAACCATTTCTCTGATCCTTATCTAAGTCGTTAAGCAGGGATTCACTGTATTCGAGTTGCATAGATATTTACATACATATAGTACTCCACATAAGTGGAGAGGATAGGAAAATAGTAATAATGCTAATGGTACAAAGTACCAGCATTATCAACTAATGCTTACAACTACAATGAATAAGAAATAACCTGTCAGAAATTGGTGAAATTGTTAAAATGATACAGAAAAAAGACAAAAAAAGGATGATAAAAATCATGATAATGTTACTGATACTAATAAATATCATTAATAAATAATGATCATGATGACAATAATGATTATACTGGTTTTGACTGACTACTGAAACAGTTCAAACATACAGTACTATGCACATACCTCAGTCTCAGCTTCACGTAAACATTCGGCAAGGGCATTTTTCTCTTCAGCCATGAAATCAGCTATCTCTCGGCCTTCATTTTCTAAATCTTGAACTTGTTGCAAGAGCGTCTTCTGGGCTGCAACGCTCTTGTCCAAGTCCTAGTTGAATAGTTAAGCATTAATTCTTTTTTTTTTTTTTTAACATGGCCATTTCCAACTAAAGTAAGGTGATGCAAAGGAAAAAAAAATATATTTAACATCAATTGCTCTCTAGCTGCCTTTCCTGAAGTGTCTCTCAGACATGATTTAATGACCCACAGAAGTGCAACATCACTCCCACTTTCAGAGTGATTGTACCATGCTTCTCACTTTCTGACCCTCAAGCCCAGCAAACTAGTTACTCTGAACCCCTACACAGATACTCTAATGTGTACAATGAAAAGGTACATCAAGCTTCTGTTCATCTCAATCCAACAAGCTCACACATGTCTGTTGGATAGTGCAGCCCTAAACTCTCCAAACCTCCCTCACACCTTCCTTCCACCCCTAATTATGCATCCTCTTCAACAGCTTTACTTAATCCAGCTTTTTTATTCAACTGAACACTGTCAACGATCCCTCTTCTGCTTTGAACATTATTATTCATACCTAGTGCAAGAATGGTATATAATACTGACAAGATGAAATTAAGACACATGTGCAACATCTGGGTATCTTTACTGTAGATGTTTCGCCATCCAGTGGCTTTATCAATACAAATTCTAGGACATAACTTGAAGACAGTAGGACTATATACAGAAGATGAGGTAATCAGTCCCTCAACCTTGGAGTATTCAAAATTATTCACTCTTAACTGTCTGCATAATATTTACACCACACTTTGATCTTAGACATTTCCACTACATAAAATATTCTCCTCTATAGTGTAACATTCATACCCATACAATAGCATCAGCATTGTTGTGCTCTTCATACAATCCTTTTTTTTTTTTAAATATCAATTGACAAATTTATTTGTACAAATTCCTATATACACCTGCTACTTTAGGTTACTGACTTCATAAAAATCCTGCAAAGACGAACACGTAAAAATTGCAGGTTAGTAAGTAATCACAATAATTTTAATTTTGGTGCATTGTAAAATAACTTAAATAAGGCCAGTGAAAAGCAGGGAAGCCATGGGCACAATACAAGAACAATGTGTCAACATTCTTGCTCCTAGACTTCTCAAATCTGCTACAGTACCAGCAGATATCATAAATACGGGTCCACCATCACAAATCCGGCAATCAGTTATTCGGTTCCTTCAGTTATTTGGCACTAATTTTGGCTAGCATAATTTCAAATTTCCAAGGTCGCCACACCAACCTGCTGGTACTGTCTGGTGGTGCTACTTACTGCACAAGTCATTCTAATTTCTTTTTCTCCATTTGTTATAACCTGCTTACTTTTAGCCCTAGCCATGGTTCCAATGAATAAAAGAAATGCTTCTATTATGTAAAGCACCTACACAGTACATTATCCATTAAAGATAAGGTGGCTTTGAAGCCACTGTCAGTTGCCATGAGCTCAGTCTCATGATGCAGAAGAATATGCTTTATTATTATGCTAATATCAACACTACAGCTTACTGCCTATCACAATTGATCTAATATGACATAATAAACAATATAAATAACATAAAACATGTTAAATGCTCCAGAATGAATACCAAATCCTCTTCATACGGAGGTATGAAGAGGATATGGTATACAAATACCATTCTCCTATCCGTCTTGGGGGCTTATATTAGAGAAAACGGAGTATAGCACAGGGCTGTGATATACACTCGTACTGCACCATAAAACTGAAACAAAAAAGCTATTTTCTCTTCACAGATTATCACACACAGCAGCATGTGTGTAGAGAACTTAGGATAACCCAAAAAAGTCAGACAAAGTGGCTTATTTCTAGTACCTGGCTTGGGTTAGCCATATATGATTTTTTGTAAACATTCGATTCCTAGCCAGGGTAGAAACATTGGGTGTGTTGCTTTACACCTGTTGTCTATATTCACCCATCAGTAAATGGGTACCTGGGTGTTTGTTGACTGGTATGAGTGTTATCCTGGGACAATGACCAAATTTGCTTGATATACTCAGCATAACAAGCAGCTTTCTATATAGTAGTATGTCACTGATGTCAGCTAGGCCTGTATACCTTGTATATGTACGTGTAGTTAATAAAGATATCATTATTATTATTATTATTATTATTATTATTATTATTATTATTTTTATAACTTATTATTTTCCAGTTGTTGGGGTTATCTTATCAAACTTGGGGAATATATGAGGAATTGATACTTCTTAACGTACACCAAAAATGAAAGAAATCAAACATAAAAGCGGATTCAAATTCCAGCCATTAGCGGCGCTTAGGGTATATTTTTGTATGTTTTTATGGTTAATTCTATTTATTTGGTCTCATTTAATAGAAAGGGAAAATATATTACGAAATGATATGATTTTGATTGCTTCATGATGAAAAGTACCTTGAAATTGCGTCCACAGTAGCAGAACTGTCTATTTTTTAGCGATGCCAAAGTAACATATGATTCACCGTCAATACCTGTCGCCTGCCGTCCAATTTCCAATGCCTAGTCAAGACTGGTTGACATTATTTATTTATGGTTGACATTATTTATATGGATTGACATTATTTATTTATTATTTACTGATGGGAACTAGACAACATTAAGAAACCACCAATGTTTCTAAACCCCGGGTGGGAAAACGAAATTTACAAAATCATATACATGTCAACCCAAGCCGAGGTATAGAAATAGCCCTTTGTTGATTTTGGATTATCCTAGGTTCTCTACACTTTTTTGTACTTTTGATGTGATAATTGTATAGAGAAAAATAACTTTTTTGTTTCAGGTTTATGGGGCAGTACGGTGTATACCCCCAGTTAGCCCTGTCTATAATCGTTTTCCCAATATAAGCCCCAAGACAGGATAGGAGAATGAACTTGTATCCCAATGTGTCCTCTTCATATAAATACTGTTAGCATAGTCTGCATAACAGTAAATCTTTACTTTTTTGTGTGAATAAAAATTCCAAATGGTAAGCAAGAGTAATATAAGAGGGGCCTGGAGCCATGACTAATGAACAGAGAAAATGTTATTTTAGTGCCATGAATGTCTGCACTGTTTATTCTGGACCCTATTTTGAAATTGGCATTTGTTGAAATTTGTGTGAAATTGGCCAAATTGCCAATTTCTGACCACTTTATTGGGTAGTTGAAATAGGTGAATGGGCGGTTTCTTGTACAGTGGTCCCTCAATAATCGTCTGGCCTGAAAGTCGTCCATTTCAGAAAAAGTCCTGTTTTTTCGTTAAAATATTGGCTCGCAAATGGTCCGGTAACTCGCTAATAGTCCTTCGTCCCGGACGCGTACTCACGCTCTGAGCTGCCTCGGCTTTCCTTCCCAGCCAGTGTGCCATTGTTTACCAGTGAGCAATGGTCCCCTCATGTGCTCCAGCGAAATATTTCACAATATTCCATTTATTTTAGTGCTTGCTAAATAAGCTACCATGGCTCCAAAGAAAGCTCCTAGTGCCAAGCCTTTGGTAAAGAAGGTGAGAAATATGATTGAATTTAAGAAAAACATCATTGAACAATATGATAGTGGCATATTGTGTGGGCGAACTGGCCAGGATGTATAACAAATCCCGTACAACCATATCTTCCATCATAGCCAAGAAAAAGGAAATCAAGGATGCTGTTGTTGCAAAGGGAGTAAATATGCTGACAAAAATGAGATCACCAGTACTCGAAGATGTTGAGAAGTTATTATTGGTGTGGATAAATGAGAAACAATTAGCAGGAGATAGTCTTATGACATTGCTTATTTGTGAAAAGGCTAGGCAGTTGCATGACGATTTGGTAAAAAATTGCCTGCAACTAGTGATTTATGTGAGTGAATTTAAGGCCAGCAAAGGCTGGTTTGAGAGATTTAAGAAGCGTACTGGCATACACAGTGTGATAAGGCATGGTGAGGCTGCCAGTTCAGACCACAAGGCAGCTCAAAAATATGTGCATGAATTCATGGAGTACAATAAACAGTGAAGGATTGAAACCTGAACAAGAGTTAAATTGTGATGAAACAGGCATCTTTTGGAAGAAAATGCCAAAGAGGACCTACATTATTCAGGGAAAAAAAAAGGCACTGCCAGGACACAAGCCTATGAAAGACAGGCTGACGCTAATGTTCTGTGCTAATGCTAGTGGGGGACTTCAAAGTGAAGCCGTTACTAGTGTACCATTCTGAAAATCCCAGTGTGTTCAAGAAAAACAATGTTATGAAGAGTAAATTGTGGTTTTTTTGGAAATCTAATAGTAAGGCATTGGGTCAAGAGAGAAATTTTTTTTAGAGTGGTTCAATGAAGTGTTTGGCCCTAGTGTGAAGAATTACCTCCTGGAAAAGAAATTGGATCTCAAGTGCCTCCTAGTAATGGACAATGCACCTGCTCGTCCTCCAAACTTGCATGACCTAATTCTGAAGGAGTTTGGGTTAATCACTGTAAAGTTCTTGCCCCTGAATACCACTCCTCTCCTCCAGCCCAAGGACCAGCAGGTCATTGCAAACTTTAAAAAACTCTACACCAAAGCAATGTTTGAAAGGTGCTTGAATGTCACCTCAGACACTCACTTGACCCTAAGAGATTTTTGGAAGGAACACTTCAGTATTCTCCATTGCGTAAGCCTTATAGGTAAGGCTTGGGAGGGAGTGACTACCAGGACTTTGAACTCTGCTTAGAGAAAATTGTGGCCAGATTGAGTCCACAAGAGGGATTTTGAAGGGTTTGGGGCTGACCCTGATGAGCCTATGTCAGTTTTAAATCCATGTGGCACTGGGGAGTTCCATGGGGTTTGGGTGTGAGTTTGGAGGTGTGGAAGAGTTGGGGAGGACCACAACGAAGAGCTAACCACTGAGGAGCTGCAAGAGCTTCAGCAGGAAGAACAACAGATCACAGCTCAGAATCTTGCTGCAGAGGAGGAGGAAGAGAGATGGAGGAAGGTGCCTTCTTTAGAATTAAGGAATTTTTGAAATGTGGGGTAGGATGGCAAGATTTATGGAGAAACATCACCCAGAGAAGGATGTTGCAAGCCATA